TATCTATCTATCTATCTATCTATCTATCTATCTATCTATCTATCTATCTATCTATCTATCTATCTATCTATCTATCTATCTATCTATCTATCTATCTATCTATCTATCTATCTATCTATCTATCTATCTATCTATCTATCTATCTATCTATCTATCTATCTATCTATCTATCTATCTATCTCTATCTATCTATCTATCTATCTATCTATCTATCTATCTATCTGTCTATCTATCTATCTATCTCTATCTATCCTATCTATCTATCTATCTATCTCTATCTATCTATCTATTTATCTATCTATCTATCTATCTATCTATCTATCTATCTATCTATCTATCTATCTATCTATCTCTATCTATCTATCTATCTATCTATCTATCTATCTATCTATCTATCTATCTATCTATCTATCTATCTACTATCTATCTATCTATCTATCTATCTATCTATCTATCTATCTATCTATCTAATCTATCTATCTATCTATCTATCTATCTATCTATCTATCTATCTATCTATCTATCTATCTATCTATCTATCTATCTATCTATCTATCTCTATCTATCTATCTATCTATCTATCTATCTATCTATCTATCTATCTATCTATCTATCTATCTATCTATCTATCTATCTATATATCTATCTATCTATCTATCTATCTATCTATCTATCTATCTATCTATCTACTATCTATCTATCTATCTATCTATCTATCTATCTATCTATCTATCTATCTATCTATCTATCTATCTATCTATCTATCTATCTATCTATCTATCTCTATCTATCTATCTATCTATCTATCTATCTATCTACATATATCTATATATCTACCTAGAATTGATCGATTATTTATAACAATATTATGTTTTTCAGATTCAAAACTTGCCCTCTCATTACTGCTAATACCTTATCTTTTGCCCACCTCCAGGCAAAGAAGTAGATTGGATGTACAAGAATCTTTTATAAGCTACAGCAAGGTAGTATTTAACTTAACTAACAACTCTATTATTTCTAAAGTATTAAATAATTACTAATTTTTTCAGAATTTAGATAAACTGGTAAAGGAAGAAGAGGATACTGATGATGACGACGAGGAACAGTCTGATAGAGCCAACGTTTAAAACTAGATAATATACCAAAAATTAATTTAATCGGCGATAGTTTCGAAACCAATTTGTTTTGCATATCTGGATATGTATGGTAGAAGACATCGTTTTCAAAATCCTCTACAAGCTATTGAAGTTTGTTTTCAGTGTTTTATGGCAATGAACATTAAATATCCGAAATTTTGTGAACATGTTTGGATATTTATGCAAAAACTTATTTTTCAAATAAGTACACCAAACGATATTGCTGTACCCTCGATAAATACACTGGTCAATGATTTGCAGCAGCAATAATTTTTAGAAGTTCGGTTGGACGTATTTACTTTGTAATTCCAAGAATTTAGTAAAAGTGTAATAAAATTAATTTAAAGAATAAATTAAAATATAACCAGAAGTTTTCTTATTCTTAAAAATGGAATTTTCTTTTCTTAAAATTTTTAAATTTTAATAATAAATTTTAAATTATTACATTTATCAATGTTAATTAGCTATTTATATAGACAAGAGGAATTAATTTATTGATAAGACTGATTGATGAGTTTTTTTTTTTTTTTTTTTTTGCAAAAATTTCATTAAAATAAAAAACTGTTTGAAAACAAAAATAAAATCCATGATAATAAACACGTTTTGAGAAAAAACTATTGATTTTAATCAAAAATGTAAATAATTGAAATAAAAATATTTATTGTAAATTAAACTGTAAATTTTTTTTCAATTTGTTTTTCAAAACAGTTGCTTAACCTTAAAATTGATTTACGTAAAGATTATAGTAAAATAGACTTAACCCCCTGGTAGCAAATCTACAAACGATAACAACCTGCTAGTACCCTAACAATTAATCAAACTCGAGGGTCAAAGTTGAAATAATTCAAGAGTAATAGCAATGTTAAAATGGTTTACTTTGAACTTGTAATAATTTAAACCAATTTAAAACATATGTACGTATGTTTTTATATAATAGACACAAATGATCTGTATTGTCTACAAATTTATATTATCCATCCCCAAAAAAAAGAAGCTAACGACACACATGACAAAAAACAATTTTTCAAATTGTTGTAATTTTTGGCATTTTAATTTATTTAATAGGCAGTTTAATGTCCTTAATTGAATTAACCTTGAAAGCGAAAAGAAAGTGAAAATTGTATTTTTTTCGTTAAGGGAGGGAAACATTTGCAAATTGTAATAATCATAAACACAACATTCAAATTGAAATATTTTATTAAAAAAATCTTTTGTCCATTAAGAATAAGTTTTTTGACCTTATGACAAACAGAATTGTAATTTGTTTTATAGCGAATTTTACAAAAAAATATTGTTTGTTTAGTCCTAAAAGGGTTTGTAAGTCGTAACACATTTTTGTATTGCTAAAACTTCCTTAAAAATGCTAGAGTTGCCGGCATCTTCGTTTGGGAATGCAGGAGCACTTACACATTTCTATGTATATAGCAGAAAGGAAACCATAACCGAGTTTTCTTCCAAGGGTAAGCTCTGTATTTTATAGGTACCATGACACTCAAGGATTGCCTGACAAATGTAAAAACCGTAAAAATCGAGGCAAAATAATACCAGTATCATTAGTCCGGTTAGTCCGAGATTACTTTAATGATATGGACATATGGGCAGAAATACCTAAATTGACGCATTCGTCACATTAGTAGTTCTCGAACATTGCCTTTTGGGAAGCGATGTTATACCGATAACACATCCATATGGAGAATTGTTTTAAAAAATTTAGAGAATTACGTTTCACGAGATTAAATTGAAATATCGAGGACAATAAGATCTCTTATAGATAGATAGATAGATAGATAGATAGATGATAGATAGATAGATAGATAGACAGATAGATAGATGATAGAGAGATAGATAGATAGATAGATAGTAATAGATAGATCGATAGATAGATAGATAGATAGATAGATAGATAGATTAGATAGATCGATCGATCGCTGCTCGCTAGATAGCTCGCTCGATAGATAGATCGCTAGATAGATAGATAGATCGCTAGATATAGCTCGAGATAGATAGCTAGATAGATCGATAGATCGCTGCTCGCTCGGCTCGCTCGCTCGCTCGCTCGCTCGCTCGCTCGCTCGTCGCTCGCTCGCTGCTCGCTCGCTCGCTCGCGCTCGCTCGCTCGCTCGCTCCTCGCTCTCTCGCTCTCTCGCTCGCTCGCTCGCTCGCTCGCTCGCTAGCTCGCTCGCTCGCTCGCTCGCTCGCTCGCTCGCTCGCTCGTCGCTCGCTCGCTCGCTCGCTCGCTCTCGCTCGCTCCTCGCTCGCTCGCTCGCTCGCTCGCTCTCGCTCGCTCGCTCGCTCGCTCGCGCTCGCTCGCTCGCTCGCTCGCTCGCTCGCTCCTCGCTCGCTCGCTCGCTCGCTCGCTCTCTCGCTCGCTCTCTCGCTCGCTCGCTCGCTCGCTCGCTCGCTCGCTCGCTCGCTCGCTCGCTCGCTCGCTCGCTCGCTCGCTCTCGCTCGCTCGCTCGCTCGCTCGCTCGCTCGCTCGCTCGCTCGCTCGCTCGCTCGCTCGCTCGCTCGCTCGCTCGCTCGCTCGCTCGCTCGCTCGCTCGCTCGCTCGCTGCTCGCTCGCTCGCTCGCTCGCTCGCCTCGCTCGCTCGCTCCTCGCTCGCTCGCTCGCTCGCTCGCTCGCTCGCTCGCTCGCTCGCTCGCTCGCTCGCTCGCTCGCTCGCTCGCTCGCTCGCTCGCTCGCTCGCTCGCTCGCTCGCTGCTCGCTCGCTCGCTCGCTCGCTCGCTCGCTCGCTCGCTCGCTCGCTCGCTCGCTCGCTCGCTCGCTAGCTCGCTCCTCGCTCGCTCGCTCGCTCGCTCGCTCGCTCGCTCGCTCGCTCGCTCGCTCGCTCGCTCGCTCGCTCGCTCGCTCGCTCGCTCGCTCGCTCGCTCGCTCGCTCGCTCGCTCGCTCTCTCGCTCGCTCGCTCGCTCGCTCGCTCGCTCTCGCGCTCGCTCGCTCGCTCGCTCGCTCGCTCGCTCGCTCCTCCTCGCTGCTCGCTCGCTCGCTCGCTCGCTCGCTCGCTCGCTCGCTCGCTCGCTCGCTCGCTCGCTCGCTCGCTCTCCTCGCTCTCGCTCGCTCGCTCGCTCGATAGATAGATAGATAGATTCTGAATACAAACCATCTGACAACTAGTATACAAAGTGTATATATCAAGTGATACACTAATCTGTCACGTACTCCTAATTTTTTTTACATACATACATACATAAATTTGTTTGATCAATAACATTTCGGTACCAACAAAATTTGCACCACAAACATACTTTGAGTACGGGCCCCTTGGAGAATATTTTTTGTTGGAATAATTTGCGTTAGCTAAAGCAAACACGTGTTAGTAAAATAAGTACTTTCTTAATAAATCATAAAGGAACTCAGAAAAAAACTACATATAACGACAATATGGTATAAATACACATTCGTACCAAAAATAACATAAACGCTTAAATTAATTTCATTAAAGTGAAAAAACCTCAAAACGAATCATTAAAACACACATAGAGCCATGTAAACCGACAGCGACAACATACAATATTTATTTACCCCTTAATAGAATAAAAGATTCACTTGTTCCCGGGCATGTGAACCGATAGATGAGTAGATGAATGTGTGTCTTCTTCATGGGGGTATGGTTGTATACGGCAAGAAAATTTTCATAAAAACAACAACATCACTAAAAAAAACTGTGGGATGATTTTGTTTTTGTAGTGATGAAGATGATGATGTCGATGACGATATGATTTAAATGAACGTCAGACAATTTCCAAGTTCTATATAGAAAACTAAAAAAAACAACAACAGCAGAAAAACAAATCCACTCCCCAAACACACTCGCACAATAACATGAAAACTCAACACAATTCCATGGCGATGTTGATAGAAAATATTGAAAATCGCACAATAAAAGTGAAATCAGTTGAATATTTAACTTCGACGACATCGGTCGTATAGAATTTATTCTTCTTTACGAAACGTTTTGTGGGAAAAACGTTTCATTAGTTTTGAATCGTTTTGAAAATTGAAAGAAGTGAAAATAAGTGAAATTTGTGAAAATCCTTGAAGTGTTTGATTTATAAATTTTAAATGTTTCGGAAGTGTTTTACAACAGTGGTGCAAAGCACCGTGAGTACAGGACGCCTGACGCCAAAAGCGACAGAATTTTTAAGGCGTTCTGTACATAATGGAACTATGGGTCGTCCACCAAAAATTCTAATTACTGGTGGGTGTTGGAATATTGAATGAAAATTATTTATAACTTAATAAATTCAATTAATTGTTATATAATAAATTTTGAAAAAATAATATTGCAATAGTGAGTGATTATAATTAACTATAAAAACTTTAGTGAATTAATTTTTCTTATTCAATAACGAGAATTTAAAAACTACGAAAATAAAGAAAATAACTGGAAAAAATAAATTATTAATTTAATTTTTAAATTGAGTGTTTCATCAATAACTAACGATAAACAAATTATAGAATATGAAAATTAATAATAAATTTGAATTTGAAAAAATCTATATCAAAAATTCTTCGAAATATAAGATTACTTATAAAAATATATTATTACTTTTTAGTTCAACAAATTATAAGCATATAACCTTCGAGGTCAATTCATTTGAAAATCCAATTGATTTTGAGTATATTTTTCTGATCTAAATCGTTGCAAATGTGATATGTTGTGACCTTACCCAATGCACTTCAGAGTATGATTTCATTATTTATCCGGTAAAAAATATTTATATAATATATATGTATATAGAGGCTTGTACCGATATATCTGACTCTACTCTCTTGTCCTAGTTGTAATTGGGAGTAAATGTATTTGCTAATATGTATGCGACCAAGATTAAGCCTTACTTTGAGAGATGTAGGACTGTATACGCACTTGTTATTGGGTGACGTCTCGAGATTTTGTCCATCATGGCGTAATTTCCAGTACTAGATAACCTGATGGAAACCATAAGACCCGGCTTATAGGAGAAAATTCTCAAGCCAGTACCCGTAAAGTTATTGGTCAGTGTAGACAGAGATTGCGGCGACCCGAAGGAAGGTATTTGCAGCGTAGTCTTCTTTGGTTAATATTTTGATTCAGGGCGCCCTGTCAAATTATAGTGCAGGTGTGATAGATGCGATCTATTTTCTTTGTGGATACTTGATACCCTGATTTTAAGAGCCAATTTACATAACTACATATATGTTTAGATTCCAGACTGGTCTGAGGCGTTGTACCCAATATCAAGACAGCCTCTGTACATAATGGACAAATATGATTTAGGTTCCACCGCTTTTCATCATACTAGACTAGTCTATAGTGTAGTCTATAGTCTAGTCTATAGTGTAGTCTAGTCTAGTCTAGTCTAGTCTATAGTCTAGTCTATAGTCTAGTCTATAGTCTAGTCTATAGTCTAGTCTATAGTCTAGTCTATAGTCTAGTCTATAGTCTAGTCTATAGTCTAGTCTATAGTCTAGTCTATAGTCTAGTCTATAGTCTAGTCTATAGTCTAGTCTATAGTCTAGTCTATAGTCTAGTCTATAGTCTAGTCTATAGTCTAGTCTAGTCATAGTCTAGTCTAGTCTAGTCTATAGTCTAGTCTATAGTCTAGTCTAGTCTATAGTCTAGTCTATAGTCTAGTCTATAGTCTAGTCTATAGTCTAGTCTATAGTCTAGTCTATAGTCTAGTCTATAGTCTAGGCTATAGTCTAGGCTATAGTCTAGTCTATAGTCTAGTCTATAGTCTAGTCTAGTCTATAGTCTAGTCTATAGTCTAGTCTATAGTCTAGTCTATAGTCTAGTCTATAGTCTAGTCTATAGTCTAGTCTATAGTCTAGTCTAGTCTATAGTCTAGTCTATAGTCTAGTCCATAGTCTAGTCTATAGTCTAGTCTATAGTCTAGTCCATAGTCTAGTCCATAGTCTAGTCTATAGTCTAGTCTATAGTCTAGTCTATAGTCTAGTCTATAGTCTAGTCTATAGTCTAGTTTATAGTCTAGTCTATAGTCTAGTCTAGTCTATAGTCTAGTCTAGTCTATAGTCTAGTCTATAGACTATAGACTAGACTATAGTCTAATCTATAGTCTAGTCTATAGTCTAGTCTATAGTCTAGTCTATAGTCTAGTCTATAGTCTAGTCTATAGTCTAGTCTATAGTCTAGTCTATAGTCTAGTCTATAGTCTAGTCTATAGTCTAGTCTATAGTCTAGTCTATAGTCTAGTCTATAGTCTAGTCTATAGTCTAGTCTATAGTCTAGTCTATAGTTTAGTCTATAGTCTAGTCTATAGTCTAGTCTATAGTCTAGTCTATAGTCTAGTCTATAGTCTAGTCTATAGTCTAGTCTATAGTCTAGTCTATAGTCTAGTCTATAGTCTAGTCTACAGTCTAGTCTATAGTCTAGTCTATAGTTTAGTCTATAGTCTAGTCTATAGTCTAGTCCATAGTCTAGTCTATAGTCTAGTCTATAGTCTAGTCCATAGTCTAGTCTATAGTCTAGTCTATAGTCTAGTCTATAGTCTAGTCTATAGTCTAGTCTATAGTCTAGTCTATAGTCTAGTCTAGTCTATAGTCTAGTCTAGTCTATAGTCTAGTCTAGTCTATAGTCTAGTCTAGTCTATAGTCTAGTCTAGTCTATAGTCTAGTCTAGTCTATAGTCTAGTCTATAGTCTAGTCTATAGACTATAGACTAGACTATAGTCTAATCTATAGTCTAGTCTATAGTCTAGTCTATAGTCTAGTCTATAGTCTAGTCTATAGTCTAGTCTATAGTCTAGTCTATAGTCTAGTTATAATCTAGTCTATAGTCTAGTCTAGTCTATAGTCTAGTCTAGTCTAGTCTAGTCTAGTCTATAGTCTAGTCTAGTCTATAGTCTAGTCTAGTCTATAGTCTATAGTCTATAGTCTAGTCTAGTCTATAGTCTAGTCTAGTCTATAGTCTAGTCTAGTCTAGTCTAGTCTAGTCTAGTCTAGTCTAGTCTATAGTCTAGTCCAGTCTATAGTCTAGTCTAAAGTCTAGTCTATAGTCTAGTCTATAGTAGACTAGACTATAGACTAGACTATAGACTAGACTATAGATTAGACTATAGACTAGACTATAGATTAGACTATAGACTAGACTATAGATTAGACTATAGTCTAGTCTATAGTCTATAGACTAGACTATAGACTAGACTATAGACTAGACTATAGACTAGACTATAGACTAGACTAGACTATAGACTAGACTATAGACTAGACTATAGACTAGACTATAGACTAGACTATAGACTAGACTATAGACTAGACTATAGACTAGACTATAGACTAGACTATAGACTAGACTATAGACTAGACTATAGACTAGACTATAGACTAGACTATAGACTAGACTATAGACTGGACTACAGACTAGAATATAGGCTAGACTATAGACTAGACTATAGACTAGACTATAGACTGGACTATAGACTAGACTATAGACTAGACTATAGACTAGACTATAGACTAGACTATAGACTAGACTATAAACTAGACTATAGACTAGACTATAGACTAGACTGTAGACTAGACTATAGACTAGACTGTAGACTAGACTATAGACTAGACTATAGACTAGACTATAGACTAGACTATAGACTAGACTATAGACTAGACTATAGACTAGACTATAGACTAGACTATAGACTAGACTATAGACTAGACTATAGACTAGACTATAGACTAGACTATAGACTAGACTATAGACTAGACTATAGACTAGACTATAGACTAGACTATAGACTAGACTACAGACTAGACTATAGACTAGTATATGGTCTAGTATATTGTCAAGGCTATATTCTAGTCTGTAGTCTAGTCTATAGTCTAGTCTATATTCTAGTCTGTAGTCTAGTTTATAGTCCAGTATATAATCTAGTCTAGTCAATAGGTTAGTATGTACCTTAATTCCTAAAAATTACTATTTTTGTTATAAGTTAGTACTATTTCAAAATTTTAATTTTCCGTGAATGTTTACAAATGTATCGATTATTTGACAAGTCTTTAGGTGTTCGAGGGGACTTTCTGGTGACACACGTTATGTACACGCGTATATTTTGTTATTACATTAAAAATAAATCACGCGTAAGAGCGAGGGTGTTTTTATTAAATAGTTCTTTAGGTATTTGTTTAAAATTAAATTGGCAAAAGAGCAACAATCTTTAATCACTAAATCATATTGTACATATTAGACAATTTTCAAAAACTTATAGTAAAATTTGAGAACAAAAAACACTTGAACTTTGAGCAAATTATAGAAGCATACGCAAAATTTCAGAATAGTTTAGGCTCGTGGCTTTATCGAAAACTATTTATTTAAAAAATAAAATAATTTTATTTATAACTACAGAAAAATAAATTTATAGAAATTAAAATAACAACAAATTTTTTAAAAATATTTTCTTGTTTCTTAAACGGCCATTTTCTTTGAAAGTTGCTTATAGATACAAAGAATACTATAGTTCTTTCGAAAAATATTTAAACAAAAAACTATAGATGCTAAAAGTTTTATTAAAAGAAAATGATTTTTGGCAACCGGAAAAAAACATTCTGCGAATTTTTCAAGGTCATAAATTATTCGAAAATATTATGAAAAACACGTGCATGCGTCACGATATGTTTCTTTGCGCGGGTCTTGAAAACCATAAAATAAACATATTTGGATATGGGAATAAAATATCTGTTCATAAAACAATAACAATTTTCAAATGTTTAATATTCGTGCAGTTTGTTTTTCGTTAAAAAAAAACACGAAAATTTTTCAAAACAAAATAAACAGATGATTTTCTGCGTAAGATAAGTGTGATCGTCTGATCGCTACTTTTAATAGATTTATATATATGTTTATAAATTTATAAATGAAAAACATTTTCTTAATGATTAATAAAATTTTTATATATAAATATCGTGACATGTCGCACGGTGCAAACGCATAAACAAAAGCGTTTGTGAAAATGTTTTTCTTATCTTAAGATCCTAAATCTATAATTATTTTCCTTTTAACTTGCAGGTGGTTTGGGTCAATTGGGTATTGAATGCGCTAAACTATTGCGTTCTCAATATGGTGACAGCAATGTCATTTTATCTGATATTATTAAACCTAGTCAAGCGGTCGTCGAAAGTGGACCATATATTTTTGCTGATATTTTAGATTTTAAAGGCTTACAAAAGATTGTTGTCGATCATCGTATCGATTGGTTGATACATTTCTCTGCCTTGTTGAGTGCAGTAGGTGAACAAAATGTACCGCTGGCGGTAAGGTATGTATCAAGAAAGTAATACCGTTACATTATATATACAAAATTGTATTACTTTCACCATGTTGATTTAATCTTCAGTTATTATTGCACTAGTTTATGTTGGTTTTGTCATCTAATTACTTTAAAGTTAAGAAATTATTTTTAAATAGCGTGTCTGCAAAAATATCCAACAATTATTTCCTTAAATATGTCGTTGTCTTGTACAGGGTGTTTAAGAAAAGTGGTGTTAATTAATCCACAACTAAATGAGTTGATTCCTCAGTATCTGCGCTATATTTTCTATAGAAATTTTCTCCCAATCTGAGTTAAATTTTCTATAGAAAATTTCTCACATTGTGAGTAAACTTTTCTATAGAAAATTTCTCACTTTGTGAGTAAAATTTTCTATAGAAAATTTCTTACAATCTGAGTAAACTTTTCTATAGAAAATTTCTCACATTGTGAGTAAACCTTTCTATAGAAAATTTCTCACATTGTGAGTAAACTTTTCTATAGAAAATTTCTCACATTGTAAGTAAACTTTTCTATAGAAAATTTCTCACAATCTGAGTAAACTTTTCTACAGAAAATTTCTCACATTGTGAGTAAACTTTTCTATAAAAAATGTCTTATAATCTGATTAAATTTTTCTATAGAATATTTCTCACAATCTGAGTAAACTTTTCTATAGAAAGTTTCTCAGTATCTGAGTAAACTTTTCTATAGAAAATTTCTCACAATCTGAGTAAACTTTTCTATAGAAAATTTCTCACAATCTGAGTAAACTTTTCTACAGATAATTTCTCACAATCTGCGTAAACTTTTCTATAGAAAATATCAAAATTCTAGTAAATTTTTCTATAGAAAATTTCTCAGTATCTGAGTAAACTTTTCCATAGAAAATTTCTCAGAATCTGAGTAAACATTTCAATAGAAAATGTCTCACAATTTGAGTAAACTTTCCTATAGAAAATTTCTCACAATCTAAGTAAACTTTTCTATAAAAAATGTCTCACAATCTGAGTAAAATTTTCTATAGAAAGTTTCTCACAATCTGAGTAAACTTTTCTAAAGAGAATTTCTCAGTATCTGAGTGAACTCTTCTAGAGAAAATTTCTCAGTATCTGAGTAAACTTTTCTAGAGAAAATTACTCCGAAATTGCTCAGAGTCTGAGTTAAATATTCTATGGGAAATTGCTCAGAATCTGTGTCAGATTTTTAATAGCAAATTACTCAGAATCTTAGTAAGATTTTCTATAGAAAATTGCTCACAATCTGAGTCAGATTTTCTATGAAAATTGTTCAGAATCTAAGCCAAATATTCTACAAAAAAAAGGTCTCAAAATCCGAGACAGATTTTCTATGAAAATTTCTCAGTATGTGAACCAGATTTTCTATAGAAAAGATCTAATATATATTATAACACTTCTTCTTAAAACACCCTTTTATATCTCTTTTTACACACACAATACAAATTGCAAAATATTAATTTATATCTTTTTCACTCTTCCCCCTTTCGCCACACTTTTATTAAGAGTCAACATTGAAGGCGTTCATAATGTCATCGAACTTGCTAAACAATATAATTTACGTATATTTGTACCAAGTACTATTGGTGCCTTTGGTCCCGACAGTCCACGCAATCCCACACCAAATGTTACAGTAGGTTACTCATGAATTTTTGTGTATGACATACATTTCTTAATTATTTCCCGGTTTTGCTTGTTTTATAGATTCAACGTCCTCGTACCATTTATGGTGTTTCGAAGGTTCATGCTGAATTGATTGGAGAGTATTATTATCATAAGTTTGGTTTAGATTTTAGATGTCTACGTTTCCCCGGTGTTATTTCCAGTGATCCACCAGGTGGTGGCACTACTGGTAAGTTTAGAAATTTACATTTACTATTTTAATATATAACTGTGTATTAACTTGTACTTCCTATAATTTAGATTATGCCGTTGCTATTTTCCATGAGGCTTTGAGAACTGGCAAATATCAGTGTTACCTTAAGCCTGATACCCGTCTACCCATGATGTACATCGAGGATTGCTTGAGGTAGTATTTTAAAATAGAATTTCATAACAAATTTTCAAATCTAAATTCTCTTACAGAGCCCTTCTCGAATTCATGCGTGCCCCCTCAGAACAACTTCAACGTCGTGTCTACAATGTCACTGCCATGTCGTTTACACCCGAAGAATTGGTCGATAAACTTAGCAAATATGTACCCAATTTACATGTGACCTATAAGCCTGATAGTCGTCAATTGATTGCTGACTCTTGGCCCCAAGTATTCGATGACTCTGAGGCTAGACGTGATTGGAATTGGCAACATAAATATGATTTAGATAATTTGGTCGATTTTATGGTCAAAGATGTTCAAGAAAATTATATTAATGTTGATAATCAAGCTGATCGTGCCTCAGCTGAGAATTAATCAATTCGAAAAAGTTTGATTAAAGTATTCAGTTTTGTCGTCGTTTTTTTATTATTTTTGTTGAAAACATTTTCGAAAAGATTTTTTAAAAGTGCATTTAATTGTTATAAATTTTTTAGAATATTTAATATGTATAGATTTTTACATACATTAAATATATATTTATTTTTATTGATAATGTTTCTGGCTGTAGTTATTTTTTGAAAAATGATGACAGATTTTTAAAACCAGAACTAAATTTCTGTCAGTGTATGAGGCTTTCTTAAAAAAAATTAAATAAATCTGAGCTACAGATCTCCCATAGAAAATTTTTCAGAATCTGGGTAAAGTTTTCTATAGAAAATTTCTCACAATCTGAATAAACTTTTCTATAGAAAATTTCTCAGTATCTGAGTAAACTTTTCTATAGAAAATTTCTCAGTATCTGAGTAAACTTTTCTATAGAAAATTTCTCAGAATCTGAGTAAAGTTGTCTATAGAAAATTTCTCACAATCTGAGTAAACTTTTCTATAGAAAATTTCTCTCAATCTGAGTAAACTTTTCTATAGAAAATTTCTCAGAATCTAAGTAAACATTTCTATAGAAAATTTCTCAGAATCTGAGTAAACTTTTCTATAGAAAATTTCTCACAATCTAAGTAAACTTTTCTATAGAAAATTTCTCACAATCTGAGTAAACTTTTCTATAGAAAATTTCTCACAATCTTAGAAAACTTTTCTACAGAAAATTTCTTACAATCTGTGTAAATATCTCAGAATCTGAGTAAATCTATCTGACAGCTTTGTTGCCATAGCTCTCTCCATCTACAAACGCTCGATTCGTGATAATCTATAGTAGCAATCGCAGTCTAGGCATTCAATCGAGATTATCTGGAGAACGTCGATGATCATGTGGAATCTGAGAATCTGAGTAAATCTATCTGACAGCTTTGTTGCCATAGCTCTCTCCATCTACAAACGCTCGATTCGTGATAATCTATAGTAGCAATCGCAGTCTAGGCATTCAATCGAGATTATCTGGAGAACGTCGATGATCATGTGGAATCTGAGAATCTGAGTAAATCTATCTGACAGCTTTGTTGCCATAGCTCTCTCCATCTACAAACGCTCGATTCGTGATAATCTATAGTAGCAATCGCAGTCTAGGCATTCAATCGAGATTATCTGGAGAACGTCGATGATCATGTGGACAATATACATATGTATACAACCCAACACGATCACAAGTCTAAGTAGGTATGCCGAGAACTCAGCTACGAGACAATATCGCAGTAGTTGTTGGTCACTTGACTGGGCTTAACGAGAGAAGATTCAATCGGCACATGTTATCATGAAGAAGAGGATGTCTTTCATTTATAATGCCTAGCCCTCGTGGAACATAGGTTTAACACTCTAGGCAGCCAGTTTTAGCATGTTTTAACGAATTTATCCCAAATAAAGTGGTTTGTTCTTTACGCCAATTGTCCTTTTGAGCTTCACGACAAAAGATTGAATCTTTACAGAAACGACTTCTGCAGACTTGTTATAACAATCATCAAACCCAGCGAAACATAGGTGTAACTCGCTAGACAGCCAGTTTTAGCACGATTTATACAAGACAAAATAGTCTGGAATGGATTCAGATCACTGCTATTCTAAATTTGGATTAAATTTTAGCCATGCGGAGCCTTTTTATAGATAATTCCTGAGTAAAGTTAGGAACTGTTTTAACAAAATGAACAGTGCTTTTCAAACCAATTTGCTGTTAAGATAACAGCCTAAAAATATGCTACATTTTAACAGCAGCAGTGCATTTTAAACCTAAACTAATTTGTGCATGCAGCTCTAAAGTATGTAAAGTACTAAATTAATTTTCCACTAGACTATAGGCCAAACTATAGCTCCGACTATAGACTAGACTATAGACTGAACTATAGACTAGGCTATAAAATACTATAGGCTGTTCTATAGTCAAGACTATTATAGACTTTTCTATAGTCATAATAAAGAAACAAAAACAAATTGTTCTAGTTATTTTAAATCACTCACCTTTTACTTTTGTTGTTCAAATAACGGTAATTCGCCTGTTTGTAAACAAAAACAATATTGCCATTTTGCAACACATACATACATACATATTTACATACCTACATTCCCGCCAATTATTTTTCTTTAACATTAAATATTATTATTTTTCACACCTTTTCCTTTCAGACTTTGTTTCAAACAATTTTTTTCTCTCCAAACTCTCCCTTTACACCCTTTGATTAACGCCTTCTCCATCACTTAACAAAGCGAATGGCCCTACAAAAGGAAACCAACAATCGGCGCTCGGCCTAACAAAATTTCATTGAATTTTTGGTAAATTGTAAAACACTTTTTTAAGTAATAATTTAACACTTTTTTTTATAAAAATTTTTCCATAACGATATTTATAAACAATTTTCAACAAGAATATTTAAATATTAAACACTTTAACACGCTTTAGAATAATTTAAACAGGACTATTAACACCGAACAACCGAACACTTTAGACATTTTTCGCAACTAAAGAAGAAGACAAATAACTAAAGCAACAAATGGTAATAGAAATTGTCATTGTTGTTGTTGTTATTAAAGAGCCAATACAATCTAATAACAATAACAACAACTGCAATAAGTGAAGGATGCTTTTTGTTATTGTTCCATTTCATTAGTTTTCTTAACATTTCTAAAGTGATAAGGTGTTTAGAGTTAATGTTACTGTTTAAATTTGAATTAAACGTTAATTAATTGTTTATAATAAATTATTTTTGTTGTATAAAATTAAACCACTTTTAATTTACATCATATATATGAAGCCAAACGCGAAAAAGAGTGTTGTAGAGTGAGAATGTAGAAAGGGGTGCATATTAGCAAATCATTAATATGTTGTTGTTATTAGATTATTACAATTATTGAAAGAAGAAATTGTATGTAAGCAAAATGTGTGAATAATATAATTATTGAATTAATATTCCAGACTATAGACTAGGCCATAGACTAGGCTATATACTAGGCTAGTGACTAGACCATAGACTAGACTATAGACAAGACTTTAGGCTAGACTATAGACTAAAATATAGGCTAAATTATAGACCTGACTATAGACTTGACTATAAACTAGACTATAGACTAGACTATAATGTAAACTATAGACCTGACTATTGACTTGACTATAAACTAGACTAAAGACTAGACTATATACTAGACTACAGATTATACTATAGACTGACTATAAATTAGACTATAGACTAGATTAGACTATAGAGTATACTATAGACTAGATTAGACTATAGAGTATACTATAGACTAGACTATAGAGTAGAATATAGACTAGACTATAGACTAGGCCATAGATTAGACTATCTAGTCTATAGACTAGACTATAGACTATACCTTAGACTAGACTATACTTTAAACTAGACTACAATCCAAACTATAGACCTGACTATAAACTTGACTATAAGCTAGACTACAGACTAGACTACAGATTATACTTTAGACTAGACTATAGAATAGACTATAGACTAGACTATATACTAGACTATAGACTATACCATAATCCAGACTATAGACTAGACTGTAGACTAGTCTATAGACTAGACTATAATCCAAACTATAGACCTGACTATAGACTTGACTATAAGCTAAACTACAGACTATACTATAGACTAGATTGTAGACTAGACTATAGACTAGACTAGACTAGACTATAGACTAGACTATAGACTAGACTATATACTAGACTATGTATATACTAGACTATAGACTAGACTATAGATTAGACGGCAGACTAGACTATAGACTAGACTACAGACTAGACTATAGACTAGACTATAGACTAGACTACATACTAGACTATAGACTAGACTATAGATAAGACCATAGGTAAGACACTATATACAAGAATATACTATAGACTATACTATAGACTAGACTATAGAGTAGACTATATTCTAAACTTCATACTAGACTATAGAGTAGACTATAGACTAGACTATAGACCAGACTATAGACTAGACTATAGACTAGACTATAGACTAGACTATAGACTAAACTATAGATTAGACTATAGACTAGATTATAGACTACACTATAGATTAACTAGAATATAGATTATACTATAGACTAGACTATAGATTTGAATGTATATTGGGCTATAAACTAGACTATAGATTTGACCATAAACAAGACTATAAAGTAGACTATAGACTGTAGACTATAGACTACACTATAGATTCGACTATAGAGTAGACTATAGACTACACTATAGATTCGACTATAGAGTAGACTATAGACTGGACTATAGACTAGGCTATAGACTGAATACTATGTGGACTACTTATCAAAAGTTTATTAGTTAGAACAAGTACCGAATAAGTTGTGGGGGTACTGAATGAAGTACTTAAGTAAATATAAACAAAAGTGAATTTGTGAATTAAAAAATGTATTATAAATAATATAAAATTAAACACAATATAATTTTTCCATTACATTTTATTAATTCAATTCACAGTTTTATTACAATATTTTAAAATCATTTACAACTCAAATTAAACTTGTACTATAATTCCTTTTTTGCTTACAAATTATAATTTTTGTAACTAATTTGTGTTTAAAAGCTTAATTAAAAGTAAGGTACATATTTATAGTATTTTTTTTTACATAGAAAAAGAAATTAAATAAAATGAAATAATAACAAATAATAATTTAAAAATTAAAAAATTTTACAAAAAAATTTTTATAAATAAAAAGCTTAACGATATGTTGAATTCATTTCATAAATTATGTTTGTTTAGCAAAAATCAATTTACAAATTTATTAATTATTAAGTCACACAGTGTAAAAAAGAATATTCAATATTAACACTTTTCCTTTTTCAAAATTCTTCATAATAATTTTCATCTTGTAACTGATGATGCACAGCATTGTTTGTTTTAGTGTAAACCGCTGTAGAGGAAACAACTGTACTATTTAATTGATAATGCTGATGATCATGATGATGCAAACAACCGCCATGTAGTTGAGCAAATAGGGTTGCATCATCTACTACTTTACAATCATCATCATTGACAACAACATCATTATCATCATCTTTTTCATTTTCTATTGAATTATTATTTGCTTTTAGTTGGTGAATTTTTAAAACATTTTCATTTTGATTTCCTAAATCAATTTTACATTTCTTATGATCGTTTTTTAATGCTAATGTGTCACAAGAATTATTATTGTTGTTGTTGTGATTGAGTTGGCATTTATTTGTGGCAAATTGTATGTTGTCTGTAATAGAAATCGGAAAAAAAGAAACAAAAGAAAAAAATCAAATAAAAATAATATTTAAAAGCCAATATTTTTGTTTTAATGATAAAAGAAAAAAATGATTTGTGATATTTTCTAACAGAAAGTGTTCTCTAAGAAACAGGATATAATGTAAAAGAAAAGTAATCAAATTGATATAAATAATTGGGGTTTTTATAAGAAAGTTTCCTTTAGAAGAATTTGTTCATTTGTTCTCATTATCGGAATAAAGTTTTCTCAAAAACTGAGCTAAATTCTCTATAGAAAATTTCTCACTCAAAAACTCAGAATCCTAAAGAAAATTTCTATAGAAAAGTTTACTCATAATATGAGAAATTTTCTATAGAAAAGTTTACTCATAATATGAGAAATTTTCTATAAAAAGGTATCGCATAATATGAGAAATTTTCTATAGAAAAGTTTACTCATAATATGAGAAATTTTCTATAGAAAAGTTTACTCATAATATGAGAAATTTTCTATAGAAAAGTTTACTCATAATATGAGAAATTTTCTATAGAAAAGTTTACTCATAATATGAGAAATTTTCTATAGAAAAGTTTACTCATAATATGAGAAATTTTCTATAGAAAAGTTTACTCATAATATGAGAAATTTTCTATAGAAAAGTTTACTCATAATATGAGAAATTTTCTATAGAAAAGTTTACTCATAATATGAGAAATTTTCTATAGAAAAGTTTACTCATAATATGAGAAATTTTCTATAGAAAAGTTTACTCATAATATGAGAAATTTTCTATAGAAAAGTTTACTCATAATAGGAGAAAATTTCTATAGAAAAGTTTACTCATAATGTGAGAAAATTTCTATAGAAAAGTTTACTCATAATATGAGAAATTTTCTATAGAAAAGTTTACTCATAATATGAGAAATTTTCTATAGAAAAGTTTACTCATAATATGAGAAATTTTCTATAGAAAAGTTTACTCATAATATGAGAAATTTTCTATAGAAAAGTTTACTCATAATATGAGAAAATTTCTATAGAAAAGTTTACTCATAATATGAGAAATTTTCTATAGAAAAGTTTACTCATAATATGAGAAATTTTCTATAGAAAAGTTTACTCATAATATGAGAAATTTTCTATAGAAAAGTTTACTCATAATATGAGAAATTTTCTATAGAAAAGTTTACTCATAATATGAGAAATTTTCTATAGAAAAGTTTACTCATAATATGAGAAATTTTCTATAGAAAAGTTTACTCATAATATGAGAAATTTTCTATAGAAAAGTTTACTCATAATATGAGAAATTTTCTATAGAAAAGTTTACTCATAATATGAGAAATTTTCTATAGAAAAGTTTACTCATAATATGAGAAATTTTCTATAGAAAAGTTTACTCATAATATGAGAAATTTTCTATAGAAAAGTTTACTCATAATATGAGAAATTTTCTATAGAAAAGTTTACTCATAATATGAGAAATTTTCTATAGAAAAGTTTACTCATAATATGAGAAATTTTCTATAGAAAAGTTTACTCATAATATGAGAAATTTTCTATAGAAAAGTTTACTCATAATATGAGAAATTTTCTATAGAAAAGTTTACTCATAATATGAGAAATTTTCTATAGAAAAGTTTACTCATAATATGAGAAATTTTCTATAGAAAAGTTTACTCATAATATGAGAAATTTTCTATAGAAAAGTTTACTCATAATATGAGAAATTTTCTATAGAAAAGTTTACTCATAATATGAGAAATTTTCTATAGAAAAATTTACTCATAATATGAGAAATTTTCTATAGAAAAATTTACTCATAATATGAGAAAATTTCTATAGAAAAGTTTACCCAGATTCTGAGAAATTTTCTGTAGAAAGTTGATAAATTTTCTATAGAAAGTTGAGAGAAATTTTTTATAGAATGTTGAGAAGAAATTTTCTTCGGAATATTGAGAAGTTTACCCAGATTCTGAGAAATTTTCTGTAGAAAGTTGATAAATTTTCTATAGAAAGTTGAGAGAAATTTTTCATAGAATGTTGAGAAGAAATTTTCTTTAGAATGTTGAGAAGAAATTTTCTATAGAAAGTTGAGAAGAAGTTTTCTATAGAATGTTGAGAAATTTTCTATAGAAAAATTCTCTTTTTTACAGAAAATTTAAATTTTTTGTAGAAAAATTCTGAAAATTTCTATTTTTGTAAAAATTTTTTTGAAAATTTCTATTTTTTATAGAAAATTTTGAAAAAATGTCTTTTTTTTATAGAAAATTTTTGAAAAAATTTATTTTTTATAAAAAATTTCTTTTTTATAAAAAATTTCTTTTATTTAAGAAATTTGTTTTAAATTTATTTTATTTTTAAGAAATTTTTAAAATTTATCTTCTTTTATAGAAAATTTCTCATTTTTAATAGAAAAATTATGAACATTTCTATTTATTATCGAAAATTATTATTTTTTATAGAAAAACGTTGAAAATTTATATTTTTATAGAAAATTTTTGAAAAAAAAAAAATCCATTTTTTATAAAAAATTTCTTTTATTTAAGAAATTTGTTAAAAATTAAATTTTTTTTTTTATAGAAAATTTTTGAAAATTTCTATTTTTTATAGAAAATTTTCATTATTTTTATAGAAAATTTTTAAAAAGATCTATTTTTTTAGAAAAATTTTGAAAATTTCATATTCTTTATAGAAAACTTTTGGAATTTCTATTCTTTTATAGAAAATTTTCGAAAATTTAAATTTTTATAGAAATTTTTTTTGAAAATTTTAAATTTTTATAGAAAACTTTATTGAAAATTTTAATTTTTTAAAGAAAATTTTTAAAAAGGTTTGTTTAAAATTTATTTTTTTATAGAAAATTTTTGAAAATTTATCTTCTCTTATAGAAAATTTCTCATTTTTTTTAGAAAAATTTTGAAAATATCTAGTTTTTATAAAAAAATTTTATTTTTTAGAGAAATTTCATAATATAGAAAATGTTGAAAATTTATCTTTTTCTTATAAAGAATTTTTTTAAATAAATTTAACTTTTTCAAAAATTTTCGAAATTAAAAAATTCTTTTTCTACAGTTTGGAGTAAAGCAAAGTTTTCTTTAGAAACATGTTCTTAATGAAATTTGTTATTATCTCAAACCCTAATTTCCTATTTTCAAATAGAATTTTAAACATTTTAACTGTGTTAGAGAAAAATGGTGTAATTTCTACTTTAAAACTGCTAGAAGTTTAGTTAAACATTATAATTTACACAGTTAAAGGGGACAAAGACAAACATACATTTTAAAATACACATGTATGTGATTAAAACTATAAAGTAAAAACTGAAAATTAATAAATATTAGTAAATTTACTATTACATACTAAACATTTAATATAAATTAAATATTGAAAAGCTTGCGTAAAATTAATGAATTTCGATATTTTAAAAAAGAAAAACATTTTGTGCAATTTTCTGATTTTAACAAGATCTTTGTGTTATTATTATTGCAAAAGAATTTTAATACTATTTAGTTTAGTAACTTTATGTTTTATTTCATGTTTTTTATTATTCTTTTATTACTTTATGAAAAAATATACATTTTATTTTTGTGCTTAAAATGAATTCATATTTCATGTTTTTACATTTTAAATGTAATTTGTTACAAATTTTACATATTTTTTTTTTTTAATTATTTTATTAATTTTCAATTAAAGTTAAAAGCAACTAAGTATTGCTGTTTTAATTTACTTAAAAAGATATAATTAATTAAGTACATTGTTTTGCTTTATTTTTAATATTAAATAAGGTACACAAATTGCAGAAAATTAAAAAGAAAAAAAAATAAAAAAACGAATTTCATTAATAATTCGCCAGCAAATTATAAAATAAAATATTTTAAAATGGAAAAAAATTTGCTAAAATTGCAATAAAAAACTAAAATAAGCAAAAATTATTAATAAGAACGCCAACGTAAATTGCTTGTACAAAAAGCAAATATAGAAAAAACCATAAAACTAAACGCTGACACTTGAAAATTTATAAAACGTAAAGAAAATTCCAATCTTAAAATAGAAAAAAAAATATAAACTTAAATTGATGAAAAAAGATCAATACTAAAACAAAAACTGTTCACACCATCGCCCGTCATAATGAGTTTTAATTAAATCATTTAGTTTATTTTTCGTTTGTTGCTAATTAGAAAATGTTACGAACAGTTTTAAGTTTATGACAAATATATGAACGTTGACTTTTGTCATATAAATTATTTATAAATACAAATCATTTCTTAAACAATATTTTCTCGAAATTACTTTTTTCAAAATTTTCTATTTTTATAGGAAATTTTCAAAATTTCCTAATTTTATAGGAAATTTCTTTTTTTTATAAGAAATTTTAAATTTTTTTATTTTTAGGAAATTTTCGAAATTTTTCGAAATATTGGTATTTTTATAGGAATTTTTCAAAATTTATTATTTTAATAGGATATTTTCGAAATTCTCCAATTTTATAGGAAATTAACGAAATTCTCCAACTTTATAGGAAATTTTCGAAATTTTCCAATTTTATAATAAATTTACGAAATTCTCCAACTTCATAGGAAATTTTCGAAATTCTCCAAGTTAATGAGAAATTTTCAAAATTCTCCTATTTAATAGGAAATTTTCGAAATCCTATTTTATAGGAAATTTTTTAAAAATTCTCCAATTTTACAAGAAATTTTTCGAAATTTTCCAATTTAATAAAAAATTTTCAAAATTCTCCAATTTAATAGAAATTTTTCTAAATCCTTAATTTTATAAGAAATTTTCCAATTTTATGGAATATTTTCGAAATTCTCCAATTTTATAGAAAATTTTCGAAATTCTCCAGTTTTATAGGAAAATTTTGAAATTCTCCAATTTTATAAGAAATTTTTCGAAATTCTCCAATTTTATAGAAAATTTTCGAGATTCTCCAATTTCATATGTAATTTTCGAAATTCTCCAATTTTATAGGAAATGTTGAAAATTCTATAATTTGATAGGAAATTTTCGAAATTCTCCAATTTTATAGAAATTTTTAGAAATTCTCCAATTTTATAGGAAATTTTCAAAATTCTTCAATTTTATAGGAAATTCACCAAATTCTCCAATTTTATAACAGATTTTTGAAATTCTACAATTTTATAGGAAGTTTAAGAAATTCTCTAATTTTATAGGAAATTTTCAAAATTCTCTAATTTTATAGGAAATTTTCGAAATTCTCCAATTTTAAAGGAATTTTTCGAAATACTCCAATTTTATAGGAAATTTTCGAAATTTCCTATTTCTATAGGAAATTTGCAAAATTTCCTATTTCTATAGGAAATTTTCGAAATTTCCTATTTCTATAGGAAATTTTCGAAATTTCCTATTTCTATAGGAAATTTTCGAAATTTCCTATTTCTATAGGAAATTTTCGAAATTTCCTATTTCTATAGGAAATTTTCGAAATTTCCTATTTCTATAGGAAATTTTCGAAATTTCCTATTTCTATAGGAAATTTTCGAAATTTCCTATTTCTATAGGAAATTTTCGAAATTTCCTATTTCTATAGGAAATTTTCGAAATTTCCTATTTCTATAGGAAATTTTCGAAATTTCCTATTTCTATAGGAAATTTTCGAAATTTCCTATTTCTATAGGAAATTTTCGAAATTTCCTATTTCTATAGGAAATTTTCGAAATTTCCTATTTCTATAGGAAATTTTCGAAATTTCCTATTTCTATAGGACATTTTCGAAATTTCCTATTTCTATAGGACATTTTCGAAATTTCCTATTTCTATAGGACATTTCCGAAATTTCCTATTTCTATAGGACATTTTCGAAATTTCCTATTTCTATAGGACATTTTCGAAATTTCCTATTTCTATAGGACATTTTCGAAATTTCCTATTTCTATAGGACATTTTCGAAATTTCCTATTTCTATAGGACATTTTCGCAATTTCCTATTCCTATAGAAAATTTTCGAAATTTCCTATTCCTATAGGAAATTTTCGAAATTTCCTATTCCTATAGGAAATTTTCGAAATTTCCTATTCCTATGGAAATTTTCGAAATTTCCTATTCCTATAGGAAATTTTCGAAATTTCCCATTTCTATAGGAAATTTTCGAAATTTCCCATTTCTATAGGAAATTTTCGAAATTTCCCATTTCTATAGGAAATTTTCGAAATTTCCCATTTCTATAGGAAATTTTCGAAATTTCCCATTTCTATAGGAAATTTTCAAAATTTCCCATTTCTATAGGAAATTTTCGAAATTTCCCATTTCTATAGGAAATTTTCGAAATTTCCCATTTCTATAGGACATTTTCGAAATTTCCTATTTCTATTCTTTAAAGAAATTAAATAAAAATCTTTTAAAAAAAATTCGGAATTTTCTAATTTTTAAAGAAAATTTACTATTTAAAAGATTTTTTTAAATTTCTCTTTTAATACAAAAGTTTCTTCGGAAGTTAGTTCATCATTTCAATCGTGTGTGTTTTTCTTAATAATGAAAAAAAAACGGCCAGTGTGAACAGCTTATTGTTGATAATTCGAAATGTTTGTAGGTCAAGGTCAATAGAGTTAAAAATCCAATACAATTTATAATCTAATATTCTTACTAAGTGGCAGATTTAATTGTTAAAGTTTAAAGATTAAAATAAATGAGAAATAGCAAAAATTAGCAAAAGTAAAAATTTACTAATTAAAAAAAAAATATAATTGTTAAAAATAAATCACAAGAAAATCGTTTCTTTGTAACTAATTTTGTGTGTAAGTGTATGAAAGTGTTCAAATTCTCTTATTTTTTTTCGAATTACAAACTACAACAGATAATAATAATAATAAAAAAAGAAAAAACTAAATCATATGTGATAACATGCAACGGCTAACATCTCGATTAGCACGGTGTAAGTGACCTTGATAGTGTTGTTGCTGATGATATAAATGTTGTTGCTGAGGCTGCTGCTGTTGCTGTTGTTGGCTAATTTGTTGGTGCTGCAGCTGCTGCTGGTGAGCAGTTAAAGTTTGTAATTGCGGGTTTAATGTTTGTTCATATTTCTCAATATTGTTGTTGTTATTATTATTGTTGTTTTCAAAGCCTTCTTCAGTGTCCATTAAACAAGACTGTGTAGCAATTTGTGTTGAAGGTAACTGAAAGAAAT